GGAGAGACAAAGAATTCTTGTCTTTTATTAGTGGAAAAATAAAATGGGAGTTGCCACCTAGTATTTTGGTCACTAAGAACCCTAACTAGTCTTAGAGATCGGGTACAGAGACTGGTTGTGTAAAGGAAAGGTATTAGCACCTCAAATATGTCCTACCTAAGGTAAGCTACATTGTTTTATTATTGGTAAAATTTAAGGTCTTGTCGTGTTTTCTAGTTGTTAGTCCATATGTGGTTTAAGAAAAATCCTCCTCGGTAAGGAGATCCTTATCTATTCAGGTAATTCTGACGTCAACAAAAAAATTTAATATCTGGAATATATCTTACGTATAAGGTCGTAACCCCGGATATTAAAAGAAAACAATATGTTTTTTTGAAATTTTTGAAATATTGGTCTAATTCTCGTGACTTTAATAAATTGGTTATTAAAGCCATAATATATGTTGATACATATTTTTAATTTTTTGATGAAAACTAGGTATTTTAATATCGGATTCGTCTCTTTACAGTATAAAAATACAAACCAATATTGATTAAAATGCAGTAAAAAAAATTCAAAAAATCACATAATTTAAAAGGATTTTTTTAAAAAAAAATTAATTTTGAAGAAAATTTTATTTTATTATTTTTTAATTTTTTCAAGTGAGGCCGAGCCTAGCCCATGTGGCTAGGCTGAACCCAGCAGACTTGATCAGGTCACTAGCCCAAACCAGTGACCCGACTAGGCAAGAAATCACGCATGCAATCTCTTTTTTACTGTTCAAGTGAATTATAATTCACTTCAACAGTAAACAATAACAATGAATAAAAAACTATATGCTATAATCAAAATGCAAAGTGAGAGAAGCTTACCTGGTAACTGAGACCAACGGAAATGATGATGAATACATGGTGTGCTATTTCTTTTGTATTTTCTTGTTTTCAATTGTGTTCTTCTCCCCTATCCTCTTTCTTTTTTTTCTCTATTCTGCTCTCCTCTCTCTGTCATCCCCTCATTGTCTTGTTGTTTTTTCTCTCTTTTCCTCCTTCCGTTGTGTAGTGCTGGTGCAATTGTGATAGAGAATGGCAGTGGTTGTTGGGCGAAGAAGATGATGAGTTGACAATGGCGTTAGCAATGCTGGCGCGGCTCTCTCCCCTCCTTTTTTTCTCCTTTATCGTTCCCCTCTAGTTCTCCCTCTCCTTTCTCCCTTTGTTCTTTTTTTTTCTTCTGTCATTCTCTCTCCCCCTTCTTTACTTGGTCCCTCCTCTGGCTTTTATAGCTAGAGGATGCATACGTTATGGTAGGTATATTTTAACGGCCAACATGCATTATGGTGGTGAGGAAATCAGCCACAAGACATGCCCTTGATTGCAGCTCCACTGATCCTCTTTTTACTATAGAAAACATTGCTTAAAGACAGTGAGCAATGTGCAATAATTCTTAATGCAATGGCGTTGTTCCAATTTCAAAATGATATTTACTATTTTATAATCAAGCCCCCTGAAAAGTTATAATTAGATCCTTTGATTTTAGCGGCTTTTCCGTTTTGGTCCTTGATTTCAGATTGTTTTAATTAAGTCCCTAATTAGCCATTAAACTTTAATAACTATGCAATTAAGCCCTTGGTCTGGCCAAATCAATTCTTTAAAATTATAATTAGACTCCAGAACTTTAATTTCATCCAATAAAAGCCTAAATTAACTTAAAAATATATTTTTCTTGCAATCAAACCATCCATAAATTCAATTAAATCTTAGATAAAATTTAATTAAGTCCATAAACATATAATTTTAGACTTTTTTTCTCAACTTGAATTTTCTTTGTCAACAAGGCTCTTATAATGTCGAATTTCAATTCTTGTCTTTCTAAACCTCTTTAACCAATTTTTAGCCATTTTATGGGAGTTCTAGCATCCTTTTCTCACTTCTATTTTTTTTTTATTCCTTCTGAATATATTTTTTTGATATGTATTTTTTTGTATATTTTTTTTAATTTTTTTATGGGGAATCCAAAAATAGGTAACAACAAACTTAATGCTTTTTAGTATAATAGTTAAAGAGTCAAGAAAGAACATTGTCCAAAACAACTTTATCAATTTGAAAGATGAAAGAGTAGCAAGTTGTTGAGACCTCATCTAACAAAACCCTTGCAATTCATAAAAAGTATTTGGCAGAAGTGACAACAAAATAGTACTAACTATTGCTAAAAAGAAAATGAAAGAATCCTTCAAAAATCAATATTATGAGAAAAACATTAGACTGTGTCTAAGAACCCATTGTTTACCAAAATTCAAAGCATGAGGTTTTGCATTTAAAACTTTAAAAAGTGCAAATTAATGGGGCACGGAGATTTACATTGTTATTGCTTAGCGGATTAGAGATAAAGATAGAGATAGGAGATGAAGATAGAGCTTTAGTTTTTGTATTGAATTAATGTAGAAGAGTTATGACAAGCCAAAGACTCATAGAAGGGCTAGGAAAGGCTAGCAGCAAAGTGATACAATAGAGACCGAAGTTCAAAAAGGATAGGAGCATTAGGCTTTTTTTATTCTAGACAAATGCATAATGTTTTTGCAACTTTCACTATTTTGATTCATTCTTAATTAGGTTACCTAGTTATAGCTACCATTGCTTTCTACAAATCAAACCCAATAAAGAAGATGATTATTTACTCCTTTATTTGGAAAAAAAAATAAAAACCTCATCACTTATACAACACCCTAATTCAATCATTACAAAATAAAATATTTCACTTTCTTCCAGCTATATAAAAAAGAATATAAAAAAGCAGCAGTTAAATCCACTTATTAAGCAAAAAAAAAAAAACAAACGTGTTTTAGAGGAGAAAAAACTCATATTAATAAACTAATCAAACATACAAAACTCCATCAAACATGAGTTCATCCAAAAGAGAAAAAAAATCTAAAGACAAAAGTACTTACCTTCAAAAACAAGTTTGAATATGAATTATTAAACACAATGGTAAACAATATATTTTGGTTGCATACAAGTGCAATAGTTTATTTAAGAAAGACATACATGACCAAAAAAACATAAAATTAACAGCACTGACAATTAATCACAATAAAATAAATTAATCAAGCATCACACAAATTAAAATTTGTAGTTAATTAAAACAAATTTTTGAATGGAAATTAATCTAATGAAGAAACTTAAAGTCTCTATTTGATACCATAATAGGTTTCCCAACACCTTTACTTGTTGTTGTTTTAGTTTCTCAACATAGATTTGCCATTTATTTATGCAAATAAGTAAATAAATAAAAGCATTATCAGAAACATCATGAGCAAATCCAAGTTAAATTCGATTTGATTTGAAGAAGAATGAAGAAAGGGGTATAGGGATATCATATTTGAATTTGAAAAAATAAAAAAGAAAAAATCATTGCATTACTTATTTTTTGATGAATGAGCTTACAATATCACTAGAAAATACATTTTGTAGAATGAATCTGGAAATGTAATCTCAAAGAAATAGGAGGAGGCAAGCGAGAAAGAATATCAAAAGGAGAGAAGAAAAGAAAAGGGAATAACAAGGCTGAAAAAATCAGGGAATGAGATCATAGATCTCAATAATGGTTAGCAATGGTGCAGGATTTTCAAATCTAGTGAAAGTTAATTTGGAATTTTTTTTTCCAACGGTTATTTCTCCAGAATTTTTATGCCTTTCTTTGTTTATTGGTGGAGCTCGAGAGAGAGATCTTGAAGTATGTATGAGTTGCTTTTGAAAAACTAAGGGACCTATAATAATAAAAGGTGTGGTTCATACCTAATCAAAAACTAAATTTCTATGTTTTAACTCTATTTCATCCAAAACCACATTATCAAACATCTTATAATCGTGTTAATTGTTGTGGCTATAATTTTTATTTTGGTTATTATTGTTGTTGCATTTATTGTTTTTTATATGTCTGGATTCAACTAAATTATGATAAATTAGTCTCACTCTTAATTTACTTGTATTATTATTTTTTATTAGCTAAATAATTACAATTCTGAAATATAAATTATCAAAGAAATTGGTAAAAGAATCTTGTGAAATGAATGAACAGAGAATCTAGCAACCTTGGCGATGGTAAAACAAAAATTAGAAAAACAAATATTAAAAATAAAATAAAAATATATTAATAGCAATAAGTAAAAAAAAAAAGAGTCAAACGCTAGTAGAGCATTATGTGCAGGACTGTAGTAGAAAATGCTGTTTTTTAAAATATATTTTATGTAAGAATGAATTAAATAATATTTTTTTATATTAACACATTCAAACAATAAAAAAATATTAATACAGCTCTAAAATGTTTTACTAAGAATTTTAAGGCCAGTTGCACTATAATTCCAAAGAATGCCTGATCAATCAATACATAATCATTAAACAACCGTAATTAGTTAATTAATCACACCTATTCTCAATCTTTCATACTATACTAGTTCTAGTACTAATTAATTTGGTTGAAGAACAAAGGGAATTTGTTAATGAAGGGAAAGTTCCTGGACAAGGGAGCATGTGCATTTTAAGGCAATTTCTGGAAAACCGGTTCCGTACAGGTTAGTAGTGGTAGCCTAGAACGGATAGGGACCGGCAAGTGTCGGTGGCAGGTTTCCAGGCTGGCAAGGAAATGTAGCAGTGCTGATCCACACTGTGATTCGGCGACCACTTTTGTCGTTCCCGCCAAGTCAGCAATTTCCGTGAAGCCTTCCTTTTTAAGAAGAACATTGTAAGAAACCCCGCGCAAAACTGGTATACAGGCTGGCAGTCCTCGGTCAACGAGAGAGAGAGAGAGAGAGAGAGAGAGAGAGAGTCATAAAACCTTGCCCAACCAACCGTTGCCATCTTTATCTTAAGATATATTTGATTTTTGTTTTGTTTCCAAAATTTTCTTCCTGGACAGTTAAAAGAGTATATTTGTTTTTTTTTTGGACAGTTAAAAGAGTATATTTGTTTTTATATATTTTTTAAAAAATTAATATTTTAAATTATTTTCATGTGTTCATATAAAAAATAAATTTAATCCTCTTCGAAATGGTTGCACCCTTATCCAAAACTCGAAGGCAAAACAAGGCCGCACTAGGTACATAAAACATTCAAAAATCAAAGATCGAAATCGGACGCTCCAAAAGAGATGATTATTAACCGCTCCAAATCACTCTCAGCCACAGCTTTCCTGTCTTAAAGAGAGTGGGGCGGACGCTCCTCAACAAGACACCTCATCTCTAAAGTAAATTAAGAGAGCGAGTTATGCAAATCAGTGCTGCTAAATACGTGACGCGTGTCCCTTCGCCAGCTGTGTCCCGAAAACCGAACCGCCTGCCTTGAGCCTTCAGTTCGATGCCCATAACTACTACCTCGAACCGCCTCTCCCGGTCACCCGACTCACTCCCTTTTATATATGATCTTCCATAAATCGCCCTTCACTACCCTCCCCCTGTTTACGACCTTCTCTGGTCTCATCCCCTTCCTGTTGACAGTGAAGAGAGAAGGAACAAGAACAAAGAAAAACAAAATACAGTCATCTTATATCTGACTGGCTATAAATTATATATATATATATATATATATATATATTTTAATAGAGACTGAGATTGAGAAGATATGGCTACTACGAGAAAGGAAATGGATAGGATCAAGGGGCCATGGAGTCCAGAAGAAGATGAGGCGCTACAAAAACTAGTTCAAAGACATGGTCCGAGGAACTGGTCGCTAATAAGCAAGTCAATCCCTGGTCGATCAGGTAAATCATGCAGGCTCCGTTGGTGCAACCAGCTCTCACCTCAGGTCGAGCACCGTGCCTTCACTCCTGAAGAAGACGACAAGATCATCCGAGCCCACGCTCGTTTTGGCAACAAGTGGGCTACAATTGCCCGTCTCCTCAACGGACGCACCGACAACGCCATTAAAAACCACTGGAACTCCACTCTCAAACGCAAGTGCTCTTCTATGGCAGATGACGGTAATTTCTCCAATCTCGACGGGTATGATGGTAATTTGGATGTTGATGGTAATCAGCCCTCCAAGAGATCGGTCAGTGCAGGTGCTGGTGTGCCTCTCTCTACGGGGCTCTACATGAGCCCGGGCAGCCCCTCTGGATCAGACGTCAGCGACTCGAGCCCCCCCGGTTTATCTTCTTCTTATAATCATAATATATACCGTCCCGTTGCCCGAACCGGAGGGGTTTTGCCTCCGGTTGAAACGGCATCATCATCGGACAACAACGACGACGACCCCCCTACCTTACTGAGTTTATCTCTACCCGGGGCTGATCCAGCAACCAAGTTGCCCAACCGAGTCGTCGAGCCAGCTCAGGAGCGAGTCTTCGAGCCAGCTCAGCAGCCAAAACCCAATACAGTGACCCCCTTTTGGGTGGCAGCGGACCCAGCTCAGGTGACCGCCCCGGGAATGGCTGGTCAGACTGGACGGCCCGGATGCGGTTTTGTTGGGTTGAGCAGGGAGCTAATGATGGTGATGCAAGAGATGATAAGGAGGGAAGTGAGGAATTATATGATGGAACAGAGTGGTGGGGGCATGTGTTATCAGGGTATGAGTGGAGAGGGGTTTAGGAATGTTGTAGTGAATAGGGTTGGGGTTGGTAGGATTGAGTAATGAAAATTATGAGCTAAAAATAAAGGTGAGAAATGTGGGCAGAGTAGAGTGTAGGGAGGGGGAGAGAGAGAGAACTGGGCTTTGGTTCTTTCGCTTTTTGTTAGGGAATAATTTTGGGATTGTACAGAGTGTGCGTGTGAGAGAGAGAGAGAGAGAGAGGTATGGGTAAAAGGTGAAAAATGGTGTTGAGAGAATGCCGAGAGAGCGAGAGAGAGGAAACGGTAAAAATGGAGACATTTGTGTAAACTGGATGTTGTTTTGATGAGGGAACTGGAAAACTTGCGACAAGAAAATGGAAAAGAACACAGAAAAGAAAGGTCGTTTTAAGACTTAATCTAAGTGTCTTATGTCTCAACTCTCAACTGGTTTTTATTTTTTATTTTATTATGAATTGTGTGGATGTCTATTTTATATTTTTCTCTCATTTCAAGACTTTGGCACCATTTTATTTCCTAGAAAAGAGTTTATGTTTTATGTTTGAGTTGAAAATAGTTTTTTTAGTATTATATAATATCATGAAAAATAAACTAAAATAATTTATTAATTATTTTTTATTTAAATTTATTGAAATAAATAAATAATATTCAAAATAAAATATATACCAATTACAAAGATTATTAGATGTTTTTAGATTTTTCAAAAATATCTTAGAAAAACATTTTCTTACCAACTAAGCTAGATTTTTTAAAAATATCTCAGAAAACATTTTCTTACCAACTAAGCTGCTAAAAATGATAAATAAATATAGAAAAATAATTTCCGAAACATTACTTTAGTGGAAATGAAGTTATAAGAAACGAGCACTTAAAACAGGGAGAGTGCCTCTGTCGGAAATCTTTACGCATGGAATGAAGATTTGTAGTGAAACCAGCCATATGCAAAATATAATGCCCATGAAAATTGCTCGAAAAGGAAGAGGTTTAACATGTTGATTTCGAAGATTGAATATTTAGGCACGTCAAAGGAGGTGGTTGGGAAGTTGACAAGACAAAACTGTCAAACACCCTCCTCCATTTTTTATTGCAGTGCAGTAATGGCGGGTAGCAGCTAGCCAACGCTTGCATGCTTCCTCACCTTTCCTTTTTTCCTTGGATTTATCTCTTCAAACTTGAGAGCATGGTCCATCTGTGATAGCAACTCTCACCCACCAAAAATAAATACGTAAAAACACAAAAAAAAAAAGAAAAAAAAAAGAGGAAGCTCGAGAAACCCCCGTGTGAGTCACAAAGGTGCAAGAATGGTCCATCTGTGATAGCAACTCTCACCCACCAAAAATAAATACGTAAAAACACAAAAAAAGAGAGAAAGAGGAAGCTCGAAAAACCCCGTGTGAGTCACAAAGGTGCTGCCTCCATGGTGCTTGAGCTTGTGTCATCTGTCATCATTAACATCACTCTGGATTTCACAACTTGCTGCAAATCTTCCCTCCAGGACCATTCGGGATCGCTCAGAGCATCAATCAGAGCACGTATACAATCGAGGCCCGTGAGAAGAGCTTAAGTGGAGAACCTGATAATTTAGCAATGAAAATCAGTAATAAACGACCTTTTCTGTTTCTTTTGATAAATAGTAATAAACTACGAGCTAGAAAGTGAAGCTATCTCAAAACTGCAAAAATGAACAGAAACTTGAGCAACTAATGGAGATAGCTTTAGCTGCATTGTCCTGTAAACTGACAACAAAAGGTACATACAAGTTGAGCTCTTGGTTAAGTGTTCTTCAGAATCAAACCACAAGTATTCTCAAGTATCAAACCGCACACGCCATTTACAAACTTACAAATGATTAACTTCATACTTCCCTTAAATTTAGGACGTCCCATCATGGGACCAAGAAGGATAAACTAACCTTTATCAGTTTATAACTAATTAATGAGCGAAGTTTCAATGAAAGAAACATCACATGATGGAAAACTGCTGTTTAAATTTTTTCTGTGGAATCTATTCCAGACATGTTCTCAAAGAACATTCCAATATCCTAGAATTAGAAGCTATCACGACAAAAACATTCGGGAAACAAATCAATAATGAAGTTCATTGAGCTGACCATCAAAGAGATTCATACCGTTGACCAGAGAGGAAGGAAATTCAAAATGGATGGAAGGAAGGCCAGAAATATAGATGTTAATGCAAGGGCTGCATTTTGCTCGAACTGCATGTAAATTTGCACAAGCAATGAGGATTCAAGAACTTTATGCCAAGAAAGTAACAAATGGAAAGGAGATAGAAATAGACACGTACCAGGGAAGTTCTTTGGGGAGACTTAATATAATACAGGATGGAACACCAGGTATGGCATCCCTTAGCAGTAAGGGCACATGCAACAGCTATGGCAGTTGCAGTGGCCCTTTGAGCAAGCACAATCCCTACAGTTGCAGCAGCGAGAGCTGGTGCATAATTAATACCTTCCGACCGTGACCATGACCAGACCCCCTCCTGTAATAAAATTCCAAAATTTGTTCAGAAAATCACTGTAAGTTGCATACACATGCAAAATTCCATTAGAACAACTTGAGAACCCATCAACTTCAGATCATTCCTTAAACAGAGATTGCTTAACCCTAGAACCTCCTTCCACTCAATTACATTTGCTCTGATATTTACAAAAGCCTTCACTAATAAGAAAAACCCCTAGAACACAAAGGATCTTTCACCTGTTGCTACCAAACAATGAAACATCTAATGGTGCAACAAGATAGATAAGGTAGGGTAAGGCAATGAGAAACAATTCAAACTGAGAAGCTGGGATGACACGACATGCATACAATGAAGACACCAGTGAGAAAAACCTAGACCATTGAATAAGTTGAAATAACTCTTTCTGGCTATCAAACCAAAACGAAATCAATGGGGGAAGCAATGAAAAGCAATAAATAAGAAGGCACGTTTTTCTTCCATTTATATTTTGTTGGCAGGAAGCTAAAGCATCTAGAATGTGGCCTCCTTTAAGCAACATCCCCTTTAGACAAAGATCAGCACAGTTAAACCAGGATTGCCACAAACATGAAAGTTTAAATCATATGAAAACTGATCTCCAGTTTAGCTAAATTTAAGTTTTTGCTTCCACCATGGATGTTTTCAGTCCTACCAGCTTTAAAATATTCCTTCTTCAACAAATTCCAAAAGGAAATATTCATACATACTTTAATTACATCACATATCAACCATGAACAAACTAGTTTCATATTTAGATGAGAGATTGAAAATACAGGTACAAAGCATGAAAAAGAATCTCATGTGCTTTATTCCAGAGCGCAGCGTGCAATACTGCAGTAATCAGAGGCATAGTTAACAATGAATAAAACATTAGCTTATAAACAGGGCACTCTGATTCATTCACATACATAAGAAATGACAATGGTTACAGAGATCCACTAAAGGAATCATGAGGACAATTCTGACAAGCACCCATATTGCAACATAGCATCTCCGCATTACTTAGACATTAACACTAAAACCACTGCATCCAAAGACAAAAAAACAAAATGTCTATATGGTTATGGCTGCACTTCATTTGTGATTATGGTTAGTAATTCTCATGTACCTTTCTTGCACAGGAATTAACAGCAGTGGCATATGCCAATGGAGCTACAGCCAAGGTACAAGTTGATGCTGCCACCATCAGGTCTTGTGCTCTGTAGACGATACCCTGCAAACTACATTATCAACCCGAGCATCAACAAGATAGAATGGATGTGTCAGTAAATATCATGTCAGTTCAATGGTCATAGAGCGATGTTAAAACAGTATCATGTCAGTTCAATGGTCATAGAGCGTTGTTAAAACAGGCGGCATATTAGAAGATTAATCGGACAAATAACCATGAGCGGCTAAGATATTATAAATTTCTTGACAGAAAGAGAGAATTATCATTAAAGCATCAAACTACCAAAACCATTACTGGAAAAAGAAAAAGGGAAAATTACTTTTAGCATTATACAGTTTGGTCCAAATTGCGATTTCCCGCTATAATTTGAAAAATTATATTTTACATCTTCAGTAAACACAAATTTTTAAATTGGATGAAATGACCAAACTACCCTTTTACATATATATATATATATATACATATATATATATATATATATATATATATATATATATATATATCAGAAATTCGACCAAACAACAGATTTGATCTTCTCCCTCTTTTACAAATTTCTTTCCTGAACCTAAATTACCAAATCAAACACAAAATAAACCCTGATTTCATCAATTAAGGAAACCAGGACTTTCTTTAGATTTTCTCCATCAGATTTCTTCGGGTTTTTCGTGCTTCTGTCTTCATGATGGCAAATGGGTGTCCAATACACTGCAAGATGATTCAATCACAACCCAAACAATGGAATACAAGCTCTCTGCTACGTCAATGAACATAATCCACACTGGAAGAAGAAAGCCTAAAATCTCAGCAAGCGTTTCAACCAATTGCTGCATTTAGCTCACACAATAACCATCGCTTTCCAAGCAACCGCATTTGGCTCAAGCATTTCATCAAACACCTTCCTCACAAACTCAATAACCTGATGTTGCAATAGGACCAGGATGTATTGTTGAGTCTAGAGTTAGACTCTCTTGTTGCTCTGTGAGGTTTGGAGTTTGCATCGGAAGCATGCTTGCATATCTAGCAATATCATCGGATGGCACTCCACTGTTGGGCAATGGAGGTGGTTTTACCCCACAAAGAGATCAAATCAAGCAATTTGAAGCCAAAGATAGTTATGTGAGGGTTTGTGTTTGAGATTTATAGACTATGTTTAGACCCTTTCGGGGCAATTTGACCGAGTCTATTGTTAGGAGTAGTAACACTCAGTTCAATAGTCTAGACAATGTTTACAACTAGCTAACATGTGCTCAAGTAAATTCAGATGCTCAGAGAAAGAGTTTTGTTGTCCTAGGCACTAGTGATTCATTGGGACAATTTGGTTAATGATGATTTGAAACGTCAAGATAGGTTTGAAAGGTGGATGATCTAAATCATATACGACTCTCCCTGTTCAGTAGATGATGTTGTGCTTGAATCTTCAATTTCATCTGGTCATCATTCACTTGCTTCTCCAGGAATCGATCAATAGAGGAAGAAGATAGGTGAATGACTGCTATGGTTATGGTCAGGGTTTTTTCTTTTTTTTAATTCACCGGAAAATTTGCAATATTTAATATAAAGGCTATTTAATCATTAAATGAAAAATAATGACAATCCTGTCAATAATTAAATATTTTTTGTTGATTTTTTTTAGAGGATATTAGGTGTTAGCATGCAAAGATGTAAAATATAGTTTTTCAAACCATAACAGGTAATCACAATCTACAGGGTAATTTTCCAAAAAAAATAAAAACCCAGCAATATCATAAAGGCATTGAACTTAGACCATTTGGTTAATTCTAAAGAAAAATAAGTCTATATTAACAAATATGTTGCAAATATTTTAGTTTTTGCCATTTGTTGGATCACACCGTTGACCCAATATGTTTTGTTAAATCCACACTACTCTGATTGATATAGCTTTTAGGTAAAGCAGAACCATATCTTTCCAAGATTTTCAAGTTCACTGTGGAGCAGATTTGAAATTTTAAGCAAGTAAATGACTAAGAGACTTTCTGTCCTGAGAGAAAACAAGAGTACCCAACTGCAGATTCTTACACCAGCAAAGTGCTAGATGAGAGGAAGGACTTTCAATCACCCCTGGCCCAAGACACTACCCACCCCCTTGTTGATTGTTTCTATATAAGATGTCCCCTCGATTATTTATTTCTTTTGTTCCCAAGAGGCACAAATACAGCAAGAAGCCAACCATTTCCATTGATGAAAAGAAGATACAACATGCTGGAATAACAACTATGCTTTTGCAGAAACTCTGTAAATTTGGATACATCCATGTGCATAGAGATTTAAGTTAAAATATGGCTATGTTAACACAACATAAAGAGCGCGCTAGCGCACATAATCACACTTATTAGTCTAATTATATTTCCTTGTACAAATATATATTAAGTTTTCAGTAAGACAACAAGAAAATTTAGATCAAATAAAGGTATTAAAATATATATGAAAAAAAAATTCTTAAAAAAACAAATAAGGAAAGATGGAAATGATATGCTTTTCTACAATAGGATTCCTTTTCTAGGCAAAAATGATAAATGTATCTAGGATCCCCTTAATGAGATGTCCGAGCTTCACCACTGCATATATCTAAACCAGTGTACATCATCAATGAGACTTGTTAACATAGAAGAAAAGCCCTATCCAAATCACAAGGGGCGTGCCAAAGCATGCATGATGTCCAATTATCATTAGTAGAATCAATGCATTTGTTCAGTTATTATCTAAGAAAAAACAACAATTCCTCAAGCACAACATTGTTGATAACTCACTACAAGGAAGTTCAATAAAAACACACAAATGGTTTTCTAAGCATAGAATAAAAGTAAATAAATACTATTCCTCCAAGTTACCTGGTGTGATCATGAATGGCCACTCGAAAAGAAATGGTTCAAGTAGAGCGATGGCAACTGCCAAACCTACAACCAATTTGCTGTAATGCTCACCAAATTCATCCAGACACCTTTGAAGCATTCACTTACTTGATAAAACTTCCATAACAAGAATTACTTGATAAATCAAGATAAACAAAATGAATATAGCCATCTCATAACTAAAATGGAATGTCATATTAGCCAGAGTATTAGCTTGTTACAACTCATAATGCTAAATCTTCCACTGGATAGTTAGCTAGCTAACCATTAAAATGTGGTTATAGCCACTAACTGCCCCTGAACATTAAACTTGTTTTTTTTTGGATGACTACAAAGGCTTAAGCAAAGAAAGCTCTGGCCTACCTAGACAATGAATTTAGAAACAGAACATTCAGGTAAGGAGGAAACTTTCTGATGTTTGTTGACATTGATATTATAAATAACATAGAGACTCGTCCTAATACAGCCTAAACTCATGAACACTTGAATTAAACGGTATATGCAATCTTGAAATGCCATGAAGCCTTTAAAAGCTTTAAATCACATGTTGACATCCAATAACAGGCCATAATATGCTGTGCTTTCAGCCGAGATTTCATGACATTACCAATATCAAAACTAAATTAAAATATTGAGCAAAGAGAAAGTTAAATAACTTCAAAATGACACACCAGGCCAACTCCGACCAAAATGTAGGATCCCACTTCTATATCATGCACAGGTAAACTTTTATATACGACAAATGAGAAACATCCGGCAGCTTATCATCATTTACATCCAATACATCAACAGAATCCGGATAATTTCCTTCAACACTTTAATATTAAACAACTATCTCAACCTAATAGTTTAAATTATTAAGTAAAGTCTCATAATATAATTTATATTATTCTTTATCACACCCTCTCAAGTAAAAATTCTTTAAACTTGAAACTTCCATAAACTCACATTATACTGTGTTTAATTTTTATTAAATAAATAAATGAGATTCGAACTTATAATGGTTTAATCATCAAATTTCTAACATCATATCAAAAAATCATTTCAACTCAATAACTTAAACTATTAAATAAATTCCATAATATAACTTATATTATTCCCTGCCATTTAACGTCATCAATCACTGATCGATTGGTAAAGAACTCTTCAGCTGCAAATAAGCAAAAACATTTTATTCATTCATCACTCGGAAAGTAATCATCTTGAGAATCAGGACTGACTTAAAAATGATGACCAATATGAGCTAAATTGAACATTGCAAAAACTAATCCTCCTTCTAAAGTATTGCCCATAAAAATTGATGCAAAACAGGCAAGGGCCATTATTAAAATGTTAACTTTCCCGTCAGTAATATCAGTCAGTGCATCAAGCAATGCTGAGACCTGACTGGCAATCAATGAAAATGAAAAGGTAAGATAAAAATTACCGACTTTTGGGATGGAAATTGTTACCCAACAAGAGAGAAGGCGACGAGCATGAACGCATTTTGAGGGGCTTGACTGCAGATCATATAAGAGCAGGCAGCGGCAGTGATAAAGAGAGAGAGGCGGAACAACGGCAGAGCTGCAAGTTTTCTCTAAAAAAAAGTCGCCAAGTCCATCCATCCTATTGTTTTTGCAAATTTTAACAGGGCTCTTTGGGGTCCAGTCTGTTGCGAATTATGGCCTCCGTGATGGTGATTTTGATGACAGCTGTGGTGGTGGTTGGTGGCGCCGGTGATGGAAATCGGAGGACCTGGGAGGAAGAAAGAAGGGCAATTGGAAGAAAGGAAAGGTTTTTGTGGCAGCAATTTGGAGGTTAGGTGTGAATGACAAGTGAAGGAGAGGGGAAGTGAGTGACGGAGAGTGGTGGCTTCCATGGTCTTCGGTTGTTAACGATGTATGAACCATGATCAGCTCGTCATGAGAAGGTATGGTATAAATCAGTACAATGATCGATGGAGAATGAAAAATGACGAGCCCAGGGTGTCTTCCGTAACGGAAAACAATTTTTTTTTCTTTTAGTTTTTCTTTTTAATAAAAAAACCATCTTTGAAAATATTTTTTTAGTAAAGAAATAAAAATTACAATTATTTTTTATAAAAAATAAAAATCTTATATTAGTCGTTATATTTGTAAAAATTTAATTGTAGAGTATTTATTTTATTTTATTTAAATTAAATTAAAAATTATTATAAAAAAGTTATATTGTAATTTAGGGAAAAAATTATATTGGATTTATAATAAAATAAATAGATCGGAAAACAAATCTAAATATATATATATATATATATATATATACACATATACATATAATAATAATTTTAATATTTTAAATTGCTAAAGAAATAATTTTTTATATTTGTTCTTATTTTTTATAATATTTTTAATTATCTTCCCATTTTATTCTAAAAGTTAGGATCTTTTATAATTATATAGGTAATCAATCTTAACTACTCTAATTAATGTAAAATCTTAATAAAAAATTAATTATGAATATTTATAAATAATATTTTAGTGCAATAAAAATTTTATAATTTTATTAATTTTATAATTTTTTTACAAAATATTTTTACCTCTAAAATTTTATTTTTATTTTACATTCATTAATTAAGTATTTAATTAATATTAAAAATAAATAAATATTAACAATTAAATTAAATATGTTTATATGAACAAAGTTAAATGATATGTAAATTAACTAATTGAATACAGAAAATATATGTTAATATACAAATGAAGGAAAATAGATATAGGAAAAAAAAGAAATTACAAAAACTAAATAAACAAAGAATAGTGAAAAAGCAATAAAGAAAATAATAAAAGTAGAAAAAATGAAAAAATGAATTAAAATTGCATATATATATATATATATAGAGAGAGAGAGAGAGGGGGGGGTTATTTATAAAGTGAAATTGAAAATAAAAAATAACTTTAATAGAAGGGAAAAAAATAAAAGTATGAGGTTCAAATTGATAAAAATAATATATCATCAATTTGAATTGACTGATGAAATTAAAAATAAATAAAAATTAAAAAAATCAAAATCAAAAGAATAAAAACTCAATTGAAAAAAAAATATATAACAAATTGAGATGACAAGATAAAATTTAAAACAAATAAAACATTTACAAAGAAACCAAGAATAAAACTTAAAAATAAAAAGAATAAGGACTTAATTTGAAATATCAATATTAAATTGTCATTTTAGAAAAGAGCGAGAAAATAAAAAAAAAAAGATCTTATTGCCCTCGACTTACCTTAAAATAACCAAAAAAATCTTTGTAAAAAGATAAAAAAATCCTTTTAAACCGATATTAATATTTTGGTGTCTAAAGATATTTTAGTTATTTTATGAAATTAAAAATAAATAAAAATTAAAAAAATCAAAATCAAAAGAATAAAAACTCAATTGAAAAAAAAATATATAACAAATTGAGATGACAAGATAAAATTTAAAACAAATAAAACATTTACAAAGAAACCAAGAATAAAACTTAAAAATAAAAAGAATAAGGACTTAATTTGAAATATCAATATTAAATTGTCATTTTAGAAAAGAGCGAGAAAATAAAAAAAAAAAGATCTTATTGCCCTCGACTTACCTTAAAATAACCAAAAAAATCTTTGTAAAAAGATAAAAAAATCCTTTTAAACCGATATTAATATTTTGGTGTCTAAAGATATTTTAGTTATTTTATTATATTTTTATTTTTATTTTTATTTTTTATACTACTCAAATACTAAATTGTCTCTTGTATTTCCAATAAATCTTGAAAACATTGTTTTTACTCCATGCCAAAATGTTTTTCATATCTTGTTTAACTTTTGTTAATTTATGACCTGATAATATGACGACATTGTAGTGTTATACTTTATTGAATGATTAAAAATTGCAACATCTCCTAACTTGATTCTATATTTACGAGAAGAAAAAAATATATTGTTTATACATAAATGTATAAATATTTAGGCGTAGCACATTTCTGATTACACACGCACACAGAGTTATATATTCCGTAGGTAGTGGAACTAACACAATAACAGAGATATAAATGGGTTACATATATCACGCAGGTAGATTTCTCTGCTTGCAGTTATTAAATACTATTTTTTAAATGTGAATTATGTTCGAGTTCAATAATTTTAGCCCTTTTGGTTTCAGTAAAAAAAAACTTAAAAACGAAAACGTGAAAGTTACCCTTTAGCCGTAATTAGTATGTACTAGTTAAGTGAATTGCACTGGATTACCAGTTTACTTTTAATTTTTAAAGAAAATTAGAAGTAGGATTCGATTCTATTTGGGTCTTGTCTAACCTGACTTAAGTTTAGTTTTGAGTTAGTTTTAGACAAGATACGTGAGTTGTGTATATGACAAGATTTAAATTATTTTTAAATAATTAATAATTTATATATAATTTGTAAATAAAAATTAATATAACATTAATTGTAATTTGATAAAAATATTATTATAATATATTTGGTAAAATTAATAAATGATATAACATTTTTTTTTAAATTCATTAATTCTTTTATTAATAATATTAATTATAATAAAATATACTTTAATATAAATATTTGTAATTATATTAAAGCTGTACGTAGCTCAAGTAACACGTAGAGCTTGGACTGTACCTAAGAGGAAGTTAACCAAGTACTAGGTGGCGTTGTGCTATGAGTTTGGGGTGATGCTGCTCAAGCGCCACGTAGCACTTGATCTGCCAATAGCCAGGACCCAATTCTATTTTGGGTCCTGCTATTTTGGGTCCTGCCCTCCCCAGCCCAAAACTAGCCTTAGCCCATGCCTGCGAGTGCCCAAGCCAAAATGCCACCTGGCGCTTGGATTGAAGCTAAGAGGAAGCAGATCAAGCGCCATGTAGTGCTTGGACTGTTCACATAATGAGGGAACTCAAGTGTCACATGTCTCAACGTGGTTTTTTCATAGTAATAACAGTTTTTTAAAATTTATTAATGATGATAATAATATTTATACTTTTATAAATTATAATGAAAATACTAAAAAATTATAATAAAAATAATAATATTTTTAGCAGTAATAATATGAATTATTATAAAAATCATATTATTTATAACACCAAATATAATAATATTTTAGAGATTAATACTATTAATTATACTAAAAAATAATATTAATAGAACAAATAATAATAGTTTTGAGATCAACATTATTAATTAGACTAAAATAATAATAATATTTTTCATACCAATACTATCAATTATGCCAAAAAAAATATATTAAGAAAAAATACAATAATTCTTTTAATATTAATTATACTAAAAAAATAATATCAACTGAACAAACAATAATATTTTTACTATAAATACTCTAAAAATTAATTATACTAAAAAAATAAGAAAACTAATAATAATATTTTTAATACCAACATTTGTAATTATACTAAAATTATAGATAGCTCCAACACCACGTGGTGCTCGGTTGCACCCAATGGGAAGCAAACTTAGCGCTATGCAACGTTGTGCTGTTGGCTTGGGGTGGTACAGATAAAGGGTCACGTGGTGTTTAGTTTGTCTGCGGCTAGGACCCGATACTATTTTGAGTCTTGCCCTGCCAGGCCCGAGGTTAGCCTTGGGTCATGTCTAGTAGTACCCCAACCAAAGCGTTACTTAGCGCTTGGATTGCAGTGCAGAGGAAGCAGGCCAAGTTTAGGTGATGCTTTGGTTGTCCGCCATCAGAAGGAAACCCAAGTGCCACGCGTTTCAATATGGTTTTTTTTTCATAGTAATAGTAGTTTTTTAAAATTTATCAATGATGATAATAATATTTATACTCTTCTAAATTTTAATGAAAATAATAATATTTATAATACAAATAATAATATTTTTAGTAGAAATAATATAAATTATTATAAAAATAATATTATTTATAACACCAAATATAATAATATTTTAGAGATTAATACTATTAATTATACTAAAAATAATATTAAGAGAACAAATAATAATAGTTTTGAGAACAATACTATTAATGAGACTAAAAAAAATAATAATCAACAATACTATTAATGAGACTAAAAAAAAAAAATTTCATACCGATACAATCAATTATACTAAAAAAAAAACTAAAAGTATAGGTAATCCAAGCATCATGTGGTGCTTGGCTTGCATTTAAGAAAAAGTAAATTAAGCGTCAGGTGGCGTCGTGTTTGCCCATCCCTAAGTAGGTAACTCAAGCGCCATATGTGCGCAACTCTAGGGGGCACACTTTTAACCTAATGCTTGAGGCCTGCAAGCTATAGTCTCCTCGTATGCTCGCATCAATAATGCAATATATAATAAAAGCACTTATAATATATAGTATTTATGCTATAGTGTAGCATAGTGCAATTTACTGTGAATCCATTCCAAGAAAACAACATTCCACGCTATAATAAAATATTGATTAATTTTAGTTATAGTTAATCATTAATTATAATCAACATCATGTTACTTGATCACGAGAACACTTAACACTTTTATATTTAAAAATTATACTTTCAGATGCAATTTTATAGAAAAATCTTGTATTTTGTTTTCATAAATGAATATGAATTCCTAGCCCAAAATAACATTAAAATTATTATAAATATGCCATTACATCTTTTATAATGGCATGTATGTAAAGCTGATATGAAATAGAAAACAAACATAGCGGTGGGATATTGTAATTTGATCACTCGAAAAAAATGGCTAATATAATGCTCTAAAGTATTAAAATGAATAAATTTTATAGTGCTTAACAACTAGCTCTATGGATCTAAGATTTCTCCATAAAAAATGATATAAATGTTTCCACTTGATATTTCTATCTTCTATTTGTATTTATTTTTCTTTTAAAAAAATAAACATAGTGAGATTTTTTTATTTAACATCGCAAATTATAACATATACTAAAACATATCAGTATAGTTCACAGTAAAACATTGATGTTTTTAATTTTATTTTTATTTTTTTTGCTTTTACTGTAGACTA